AATCACACATTTTCATTTTCAATGTTTGCTCACACGTGTCCATCGAAATTTTTCGTTATAATGAGGAATTCCGTATTCTTCAGCCCGTGCAGTGGAATTTTCACCTCATCGAGGAATGATTGATATTCTCCATTTGAATTTCATTCATAGACCTATAATAAAGGTTAAGCTTGAGCTTATTGTAGCTTCCTCCAGATGATTGTCACTTCCGCTCAGAGGCTACCATATCGACTCTCTCAGTCAGACTTACTCTCCCTGATCACCAATATTGCACTTGGTGCTTTTCATAATGTCGAAAATGGATTTCACTCTCAGATTCTCAAAATTCTACAGTCCTAAAGCATCGTTGACGAGAACCGACTACCCTCAAGTTCATACCTTTCTGTTTCATCAACTAGCTCAAGAGTTAGGAGATATTCCAAATACGGCTTGTAGTCATTCCCCGTCGGTTTCATTTCTTTCAAGCCTCAACAGTGGTGCTGATTTTATGGTTCTGCTTCCCTTATTTAGAAGTTGTTGCTGTTGCTGATTAGCAGCGTCGTCCTTTTTTGTGTAGGCATTGCACTCCTGCCTGAACTGAGCAGCCAGAAGGCGAGATGAAGTTTCTGTTCGTCAACGTCAGTTCCGCGAGAGACTTGCAACCTAGTAACCTTGGCGATGTCTGATCTTGTATCAGACCCGATAACTCCATTACTATGAGCGACAGGTGGCGAAGTCTTACGGAAGACCTCACCACATCCCCCAGCTGTCATCCCTTGTCATTCGAACTTCTGACCAGCTACGGCGGCGTTGAATGGATGAATAATTTTCCTAGTTCATACCTGCTTTGTGGACGTTGCGTTCCCTGTCAGGAATGTATAAATGCTTGATAATTGTTTGAGTGAGATGCATACTATATTAATCTAACTTAATGAACCTTAAGTATTTTTTCTGTACAGGGTCGGACCAAATTCTGTGACGTTTCCCGATCTTATGATTCTTTTTTTGTTAATACAAACGGTCAAACTCATTCGTTCTAGTATGTAAATGAGCAGCCCATTTTGTGTCCCAGGGATAGGTGTATTTTAATTTAGGTCTTGTTTTCTCAGTTGTAAGAGGGTCGATCTCAGAAATTGGAACTCCCTGTTGGATCTTAGTTGGAGTTCGGGTCACTCGACTTTCTTTTTTCTGAGGCTGGCAAATGAATGCCTCGGCAGGAAGAAGCAGCAGACTACACCTTATGAATACCACGAACCTGGTGTCAACTTTGTGTTTAAAAGGGAATAGGAGAGATCATGCTCATGACTTGGAAGTGAGATCAGTATTCAACCATTAACTTTATAAAAATAGCGCCCGTAAAACTGTGCATAAGAGTGACTTTGCAGCAGTTGAGGGATATGTCTTAATTTGGACAGCGGTTCAGTATGCTCGACGAAACATTTTGGTACCTGGAAATTCATATCAGTATGCTCTTCTCCATATAAAAGGTCCATCGCGATCAAGATCGATAATAAAGAAGTAAGAGAGCATCGCAGGAAGCAGCAAGGTGCGTCCCTATGTGTATTATTTCGCACTTTCTCGTATAAAGAAACCCGCCAACTAACTGTACCACAGAGCCCTTGCCTCTTTCAGTGATGAGTGATATCACAAATAATGTGTGAATCAAAAATAATAATCTGTGCAATAACGCATGTACAGTGTGACCCAGTAGCGCATTCCATAGTCATACGTTTCTGACGTCATCTCTGTGAATTGTGTTGAACTTTCTGCTGTTCATTTAAAAGTTGATATTAAATGGTACTTTAAACTGCAACGATCACGTGCAAAAATCACAGGACGACTGACGTCCGGACATTGCAGTGCTGGTTGTAAAGTTGGATATGAACACCGCTACGCCATATACTCAAGAGGGCGGTGCTGATAATTGAGCTGATTTTGGAATCCATGAAGAGACTAAATGAAAAAAAGATGATTTTAAATGAAGACGACGAATCGTTAAAGATTGTCTACGTTCGAATTGGCCGACGATACGACAGAAAAGATGAAACGACCTGCTGCATGCCAAAGTCGCGTGACGCCATCGATTTGAAGGGCAGAAGGTTTGAGGGGGAAAGTATTAGCTAATAAAGTGTATTTTGTAGGATTCTGCGACAATGAAAAAAGGTTAGTCACAGACGCACTATTGGGTCAGAATCCCGACGAGGTGCTCGTAGAGGAGTTCGATATTGCGATCACGCGCAGAGACATCTGGTCATTGAACTGGTCGAATTGGCTGAACGACAACGTAAGTGTCTTCTGAACAGCTTGCCAATGCTAGCAGCTACAGTCCAAATATTTTTAGATCATGAACTATTATTTCCAGCTCGTAGTGACCCAAAGTTCTTCACCGATATTTCGAATTCAAGCACTATCAACATACTTTTATCCCAAGCTAATAGAAAACGGCAGTTCTTCGCTGTCGCGCTGGATGCATACACCAGACTTGTTCGACTACCATATGCTACTCGTCCCCATTCACACTCCATGCCACTGGGCGGTAGCTGTAAGACCTCACCGATAATTTCGCGGCATTTAGGTGCGATATAATTTTTGCAGGCAATAGATTTTACACAGCAGACAATTTGTTACTACGATCCGCTTGGGAATTCAAATAGTCAGTGTCTCGACGCACTGAGGTAATGACAATCTTGTATTGTACTGACGTCGTTTATACTTTCGGCATATATATCGGAGTCTCTGTTTCAACATCATGTTATTCGTAAAATTATGTCTTATATTCCGTTGCCCATAAGTTCAATGCTGACAGCTTAGTGGCGAAATGATCACTGAGGAGCATAACTCCATGCTGAATCAAACTTGTAGGAACTTTTTATCCGTTGTCTTTACGTTCTCCTGAAAGAGCGCCATCAGTAATCAGCTACGTTCAAAAAAATGCATCTATTCAACATCTCACAAACATGCAAAATTCTTCTGTGCTGTAGTTAACGACTTCCTTCCCTCCGATATGTTCCCCCATGGAGAATTAGTTATAATCCAAGACCAAACCATAGGCCCATTAACAATATTTGCACACACTTCTGATGAAAAATACTTAGAAGAGTCATAACACTTTCGTTAGCTGAAAATACGTTTAACAAAAGAAACAAATACGATGAATATTTGGAAAAGCGAGAGCAAAACGTTAAAAAGAAGTAGGAAAGGAAAATACGAAGAGCAAGAAGATGAAGCCTATTCATTACAATATCATATAAAAAAGCGCAGGATACCAGACCTACAAGAAAAGAAGAAAGAAAGAAACTTGAGAAGGAAACGGAAGAAGATGCAAGGAGAGAAAGCCCAAAAAGGAGAATATGCTAGCAGAAAAGAAGTAGATAGACAACTTAGAGTTAAGGGAGTAAAAGAGGAAGAAAAACACATTTAAGTAGCACAAGTATGAGATGAAGAAAAGTTTGTATTTAACAGTTAAATATATTTTTACTCTCGAATGGTCTGACACTGAGTTATGAAAGAAATCCCGGATCTGTAAAAATCTTATGTTCTGCATGGAACAGGCTTGAAGTTGTTCTTCACAAGCACTATTACTTGAAGGATATAATACTTTGTACAGTGGATGTAGAGAATTTCAGAAGATTTTCTCAAAAGCCGTAGGGTCTTTTTTGATAGATGGCAAATTCTTGAATTTCAAAGGAATGAAGCGATCTTCCATTCGCGTCTTTTATTTCCTTTTCATTCGAGCAGGACTTGCCTTTGACCCAATCGAGCCATTCGGTTATGCTTTTGCTGCACCATGCATTTTTATGCACTTAAGCGATCGATTCTCTATGCCTTTGAAAATAAGCGAATAATGAACATAAACCGTATAATGTGGAGAAACATAACAATATCGTCGCTAGAGTATGTCAAATTACGGATACTTCTTTCAAGACCAGATTTCACTTCTCCAATGATTCTGATTGTATGGATGCATTCAAGCAGACTACGACTCCATGTACTGGAGCAACTGCAGTCATGGATGTGTATCTCATCATTTCGATCGCTACAGCCGCCTCAAGCTCAGCACGAACAATATTTCAGGAGCAATTGCTCCCGATGGCTTTGGCGAACAAAATGATGCGAGATGCAACAGGCACACAAATGCCATCGAGCTATGGCCTCCCAGAAAACTAGAAACTAAGAGCAACTGAGGGGAGTGAGGCACTACTCCGTGAAATCTTGTCTTGAAGGATTTATGCGTTATCGATCTCCAGATAAACAACATCGCTATGTTAGAAATACAGTCTTGCATCGAGTATTACGCTCTACCTCGCGAACATAATCGACTACAGCACAACCATGCTGCTCGCTCTTGAGGCGGAGACGGTGAGATTACCAACGGAAGGTCCTGTGTACAGGAATCCTCATGAATCGAACTTAAACATTTTCGATGAGCGCTCGTCATTGTCTCGCCGACCGTGGTTACTGAGGGACTAAACAATATGGAATATTAATCGAAAGGAATTCTTGAATAACACTGTCCAGTAATGAAGCATTTCAGCGAAGCAGTCTCTACGGCCTATGTTATTTTGACGCCCCTTTATCGCAGCTGGATTCATAAGATAAATGAGCATAAAATATTAAGCCCTAGTTTCTAAATATGCATTTTGTTGAATAGTGATTTCATGCATGCTGAATTATTGCGTACTTTTTATTTGTGGCTATATTTAAGGCAGTCTAATTTCAGGTCATATTTGATTTCTGAAAGCGTGAATAGTTTCCAGCGAGAAATGTGCAAAAGCATGCAGCTGCTCAATATGAAAGTACTTTAATCGGTGTAGTAGTTTTCGACTCTTTTGCAATGTATTCATTTTGTACAGGGAACCCCATTGCAGAGGAACGAATGCGACTGTGGTGTTTTCGCCTGTAAGTTCGCTGAATGCGCGGCGAAGCATGCAGCATTCAATTTTTCTCAGGTTTGTGTCTCTTAGTTTAGAGTTGCTCGCTTCATGCTTGACTTGTGAAATTGAGCTTGTCATCGCCACGGTATTTTGCGGTTAAAAAGATGGGAGGCTTCCACTGACTCTCGCTATTATCCCATTTGTATATTTCGTATTTCTGTTTAAGAGGTTTCACAGCGATGAAAACAGACCACATATTTAAGCTTGCTTTCCTTGGACAGGTTATTTCACTAGTTCTTCGCATTTCTACCTACATTTTGACTTACTAATGAGTGATGAGAAATTGAAGCTTTGTTTCTAACCAATAGGTATTTGTCGAACCACTCCAACTTCGAATCTCTGTAGACCTTTTACATGAGGCGAGTTGATGCCAGAATGTAATATCATTTTTGATCAGATTATGCAGAACGCTCGGTTCGATAGCGCTTGTTTCAATGGTACACAAATCGCTCTTCACTTCGAGTATATCATACGCAAACAACTGGCCATTTAACATCGTTCCTCATAGCTAACAAGCTTCCAGGAGTAGACGACTCCTTTCTGGCCGTGCGGAAGTTTGCCAGTCGAATTCATGGAGCAGGTCGTTCCTCCCTGGTCATACGCCAGCGGGTCAGTCATCTTCCAAATTTATTGCTGTTCCTTCTTGGTCGTGTTACTCTATTTTATCGGAATTTGATGCCTCAAATTCGTGTACTTTTGTGAGGTTGTTGGCAATCCTGTTGTTGATCAGGATAAATGGACTGATACACGTAGGAAACGGAGTCGTTATAATATCAACTGGTTTTTGTTGCTTCTTAAATGTTCTAAAGCGATTTCAATGCTCATTTTTTTATTTATGGTCCCCCTAAAAATAGTCTTGTTTAGTCTATGTAATAAACTGGCGTAAAGGCAATGAGGTAAGGACAGATGCAAGCATTGGTCGACATTCTCTTCAGAGCCTAAACCATCATAAATCTTTTGAACCAATTTTACGCCATTGCTTAGCCTTTGATTTGATCTTTGCCTTGCTCCAAAGCTTCTACTGTACGGTATTTTAAATGAGAGACGGACGCCTTCAGAGGCAATGTACCCATCTCTTTTGCTGCTTCATTTGTTTCAATCATCAACTATGGATCATAGGAATTCAGCAGGTCTCGGTCATTGGATTAACCACTTTCATCAATGAGTAAAGATTTTCGCCTCTGCATAATATGACACTAGAGTAGTTTAGACCGGTGAGGTAGTTTGCCTGATGGCCTCATTTTTGTCTCGATCAAAACAAACATTTCTGACGTACGCCAGACGTAATTTAGTAATAAAATTTACTGAAAGCCCAAAGAACAAAGACAAGAGTCTTCTCAGAACACAAAATTGGTCTTTAAGTGTAGCTGTCATTCTTATCATCCACATTTTTCCATCCACCGTTGAATGGATGCTTCATGTAGACAATATCGCAAACTACTAGTTTATGAGATTCTGATACGTTTTCATCTGCTGAACTGCTTTAGCTCACTTTGCCAGAGATTTAAAAGTCTTCCTATTGTTCAAAGAGCCAAGAATTTTGCCAATTTGTACTTCAACTCTTTCAATCGGGCAGAGATATCGCAGATATCGTCCTACCCTTTCTTTCAATATGCAACAGGCACCTTCTCATCAGCTTATGAATAGCAGTCAGTTTCTTTCTACGTTTGGCAGCAGTAAAATAACTAAATACAATTGAATTGCTGTAAATTGTTCGTCTACTCATAGCTGAGGGCAACAATCAGCAAATATGTCATCAGCTACACACGCCGTAGCGTCGTTATTTTGTATAAATAATAATTGTGAATTAATTTAAATAAATCACCGATTTTAATTTACCCCGTTTTGTACATAAGCCTCGTGCTAGAGACTTCTACTTTGACCGTAAAACGAGATCGACGTGTTGCATTGCTGATGAATACCGTTTAGAAAGACATTCCACGTTTCCGTCTGCAGATGACGGTGGAAATTTTAACGAAGAATTTGCTTCCTGTCAGTGATATTTTTGGTGTATGAATTGTATTGCTATGCGCGTAAAAAATTTGCCTTGTGATATTTTTCACAAAGATTTTGACCAACACATTAATTCAATTTTGGTAGCACCACGAAACATTTTGGCTCACGCGTTTAATGCATCTGACAATAGGACCTTCTATTGTCCAGCTTAAAAAATCTGTTTCACCCAATTTTAGAGTCACTTAGGTAATATAGTCATTGATAACCTGTTTCACAGCCACCGAACCTTTTTTCGCACTGGTTTTTTACAAGATGCTGGTCATTCGTCTGTCCATTAATCTATTAACATAGACGATGTCTTGAACGTCCTTTTTATACGAAAATTTTGCCTTGAAGGTTTGAGGGCAATCATCACATGAACATCGAAATATTAAAATCGTATAAAACTACAGGCTGCGCAACAATGTATTGAAAATTCATTCGTTGAAAATGAAATCCTTTCTACACGTCCCCTTTCAGACCTCTAATACAACTCAGCTACTTTTATTTAAAGCATTCACTATAAAACACAAAAGTCTCCGCCAATTTTTCTGTCGTTATCGAAATCCCGTTGAGCGGGTTCAATCAATAACCTTTCTTTTCCGTATGAAAAAAGGAAATGTACAATCTAAAGAACAGATAAACAGCAATAAAGCGAGAAAAAAGATATGAACTGAACTGCGGAATAATCTCTGGGGAAAAAACGATATATACATATAAAGATAGGCAGCATTTTTCGATTGGATTTCCAAATCCCCTTATGCTCCACAGCCAAACTTAATATCTTTATAGCGCAGTCGTTATCTTTATAGTTGAGTTCTATGTTCTTGCGCAGTTATATAGCACTATGGATAAGGGCTTACAAGTTAGCTATATTTTTATCGAGCAGTGAATTGCTCTGTAACATTTGGAAAACCACGTTACTATCGAAAAACTGGCATTAAAGTGAGTTCAAGCATAAATGCATCGCACTTTGACAGTTTTCTTTACATGCCTGTAATCACGACACATTTTTGCATTATTTAGCTATCACACAATCATCGCTTACCGGCAGCAAGCACAACCGCAAAAAATACTGGGGCTTGTGAACCTGAAAATCATAATCACCTTAGAACGTACACCGAGAGGGCGTTGCATGTTTTGTCACAGATGCTGAACAAAATTAAACCGTAGTGAATTAAAGTATAAAGTTGGTAATTTGCTGACGTTTCAAAATAAAGATGCATTGGCAAAGAAGATAGGGTCAGAAAGGTTGTTGAAAGAATACTTCTCGACGAATTATATAAAGGCTCCTTTGCACTTCATCATCTCCAATTTTGCAAACTCCTTTACGGTAATCTGATAAAGATAAACACTTGTTTCGAATGCTGAAATATAGAGTTGATTTTGCACTGACTGGAATACCACTAACACTTTATACAATGACAAAGTTACCTTACTTCTTATGTGAGAAAGCGGAATCTCGAATGTAATGTACAAGGAAAGTAGAGATTAATCGAAACATGCTGCTCGAATGAAATTATTAAGATTAACTGATATTGTAGCTGTGGAAAGGAATTACGTTAGGGCGAGTAAACAGAGAGGAAAACCTATCTTAAGCGAGAATTAAGGTGTTGACCAGTAGTAGCGGTCATGGGACAAAAGCGCATTACTACGAGTGAAGGTAGTTTTAACATTGAATGTAAATCACTATATGCACCAACCAGTTTTAGTTTAAATTAACATCTAACTGCGGAACCGTTTGCAAATGCAAAAATTTAAAATTTCCTCCAAAATTTCCGCTACGTTCGAATAGGGTTTGGACTTATACATGGCAGGTGAAATTTTGAACGTAATCGCACTATGTAAACGGAACCAAGATATCTATTAATTGTATGTATGGAAATGACAAGATGCATTGATAAAATTTACAACCATGAACGGTAATCCAGATATACTGAAATTGATTCACGTTTCAGTCCATGCTGTACAAACTACACATTATCATTTTGGACTGAAAAATAACTGGTCTGCACTGGTATTACCATCTTGAACAGTAATACATATACGACACACATATTTCAAACATAAAAGGTGCATTACTAGTCGCAGAACTCCTTGTTGGGCGTTCATGTGGTAGAATGCCACTAAGAATGTTTCGATGACTCTATATGAAATATGGTCATCAATCATAATTCTTTTCCAACATCTACAGCAAAAAACGTTGTGCATGATGCTAACCAGCTGGCGCTACAGAAATTGCATTTTATAAAATGAAACTTTAAACATCGCAGTTTATGGTCTCATTAGCCATGAAAACATATGCTTGATAAAGACATAAGCAGAGCCGAGCGTTTGAAATGCACGCTAGTATTCTTGTGCCATAGCGGTTTGATTCGTGGATACCTTCATGAGTCGTGATACGGTAGATGGTGGAACAAACTACCGCGCAAAATATTACGCCGGTTCTCTATTTTAATACCATGATAAATACTTTTCTATGAAGTAAATACACAACCGATTTTGGAAGCTTACCATAGAAAAAAGCCGTCTTGCTTAACTATAACAAAATAACATCTACCCGTTCATTAACTTTGACATTTAACCTATTGGCAAAAAATAATTCCATACACATGGCTTGGTCAAATGGTTTTTATTTGAAGACAGTACACATTGATCAATATCAAATTCATCATTAATTTTTACCAATTATGGAATTTCTGTGGGAAGTAAAGATGAAAAACTGCTGTGGCTTTATTGCTCACTCGGACACTGATACATCTGTACAAATACACTGACTACTATTTAATCTTTTTGTTCAACGATAAAGCCATAATCTCATTGTGAGTATATAAACACCGCAATGCCTTCAACGACTTCCGATAACTTCCCATAACTTTGTAGCGCACCAGCGTTTCATATTTCTAAAACGATATAGAGAAGGAAGTCTTGAGAAAATGACGGAAAATTTGTTCAATCACCACCGGCGTTTGTACCTCTAAAGTTAAAGCAGAACTGTCGAACTTAAGCAAGTTGCCATTCGTATCCAGTATGAGGTTCAGGTCAGAAATAAGACCGCAACACGTTTCGTTGGCTTGGATGACGACGTTACAAAAGTTCTGAAACTCGCTGAGCAACGCAGACTAAAAGCAAGCCGATTAAAGGATGGGAGAGTCAAAAAATTACTCGTGGAAAGCTGCCTTTTTATGAAGTGATTCGTCACTGATGGGAACTTGGTCTTTTTTCCTGCGAAACTTTTTTGACTTCTGAGGGATTGGCTTTTTAAGAGTTTGAAACGCGACTTCGCAGGCTAGAAGAATCACGCTGAAAGTCTGCAGCAAGTACGATACATGAATAAGCTGTTTCTCGGGAAATGACGAAAACCAGTCATGCAGGTGATGGCAAGCAAACATGTCTGAAAATGAACTTATTCAAGTAGGGATAACAATACAATCCTGAAAGAAAGATTTACTTCGCATCAACAGCTGCAGTTTGTCGGGCGATGACGGCGACAGAACACTTCGTTGGTTACTGCAGCAGCTCGCTTTCTCTTTGTCTTCATCCATGGCTCTTTTCATGGTAGAAATGCAAACGGTCAACACATACTCAAGCACGTCCAGATAGGTGGCAGACAAATACATGTTAAAGAACGACCGTGGCATGGCGGCAATCGCGTAAGCATCAGCTAGCACCACCGGACTCTCCTGGCATGCACGACAGTGCCTCATTAGTTCATTCAACAAATTTGCTGCTTCGTCCAACGACAATGATGTCAATTTCGCCTTTTCGTCCTCCTGTCCATTCGCCACCGCTTCTGCTTCTAGGTTCGTATCTGACTCATGTGCAACCACTTTTACGCCCAAACCGCATAATTTATAGAATATCTTGAAAACGAAATCTTGAAATTTCAGCTGATCGATCTAAACGACAAATCTGAGTTTCTGTCGTTGTCACAAAACATTACGAAGTTCAAAGAGTTTATTTAAGTTCAGTGTCATGGCAAACTACGATAGCAAAAAAAAACAATTGCTCTGTACTCTGTACTACAACGAAATCGATGAATATGACAATGATCCCTGGGACACAAATGACAACACAGTTGGGAATGGTTAATGTTAGTACTCACACAAACCTTAAGTGCAACAAGAGATTACTAATGAGTCCACGTGTGGCTCGATCGTCTTCGTTGAAGCTGCGTGCAACTTGCATATAGCAGATGTAACTGTTGCAGCTGCCCCAGTGGATCATACTGAATGAATTAATGAATCCAAAAACTGAACTGAACTGAACATTGCAATGAAACAGCAGAGAGATGAATGGTACGACATGGCATAAAACCAGAGGACTAAAGGTGCTTGTGATTTGCACTTCATAACTTACCAACTCCTGAGTGACACACTTGTTTACGTCTTCGATTGGCGCACGCAATTCAGCGGAACCGTAGTATACAACGACGTCGAAATCCATGTTGAAAGTGAACGCCTTCCAATCAATGGTTCCTGGAATGAAGCGTAATGGTATAAATGAAAAAAGTACAATACCCTGTACTTACGTTTCATGTAATCCTGCACTGCCGCTCGCTGCATCAAGCCTTCGATCTGGTCAACGCTGAAAAACAATAGTCACGCGGTCATCGTAAATCCTAAACCTTGACAGCAGTATGTGCTGATGACGCCGCACGAGGTCGCTACTGTCATCCACGTACCTTTCGCAGTCAGTGATCATATAGAAGTACTGCTGACTAATGAAGGATGCCGTATTTAGAAACGAATTGTCCAGCTTCCGGCTGAAGTCGAAGAATTCAAGTATCTTCATGAACGACGCCGACTTGAAACACTGAATTACACAGTCCACTATTTCTTTCTTGCTCTGGCTGTAGAACATAGACGACGCACTAAGCCATTGTAGCAGCTCTTCATACAAGCCAAAGGGACTCAGCTGATCATATATGAGATACCTACAAACTTATCCTATAGAAAAACGAAACAAGGAAATCAACGAAAATATTCTAGAAAATTTGCCTCAATCTGGTCATTAAACGTCAACCTCATTTTCTACTTAAAGTTATCAAACAGTCAGTAATACATTTAGTACCATCTTTATACAATGAAATGCCCTGGTAGGCTGTGAGTGGGGCAATGAAATGATAATTTCTGAATTCTTCGATATGAACTTGCAGTGAGATACATCTTTCATTAAGAGAAACGGTTTAAAGCTGTTTATTACAAACGGTTTATATTCCGTTCTTTTGTTCTTGAAAGGCTTCCATGACTTGTGGGAAGGCTAAAAATTAGTAGCACATCACTACCGCTCTTAGCACATTTGTGGAGAAACTACAAATGAGTTTAAATTCATGGTTTAAACGACGTGCTGATTTTTCGAAACCTATCAGACTTGTCAAAAAGAACTGCAGCCTTATAAAAACCCATAAAGCAACGCGGTGCAATTCTCGAATCCTCAACCATCAGCGTCCCGTCTGGATAACTGTTAGCAAGTCAAACACCCGCCATTATTTTCATGGCTAGTTGCAGTGAGGAGCAGAAAAATAAATTGCTTATTCAATGGAATTTACAATTAACAGAAAACGTTTACGATGCAACGTGATTAGAACTATGTAATCTTAAAATGCAAAGGAAATGTCCATTCACTACGTCACTACTTCTGTCATTTTCCTGGATATATTGGAGCTAAATGATCCCAAAAATCTGCACCAGAACTCAAATGATAAATTTACAAATTCTACTTGACCAACGCTTAAAATTTACAATGACGGATATTTAACTTTAGAATCCAATAACCTTTATTGGAAATAAACGCATACAAGCTAGAACATGTCTACACGTTTTCCTTCATGGAAAAATATGGACGGTTAAATCGCTGCACTCGTCGTTACTTAACACGTATTTAAATTTTACAAGGAAAGAGATGCTAACTCTGTCGAATATCAAACCATATTCTGTTACTAGATATCTGAAAAATATTAAAGCAATACCTATCCCAGACTAGTCTGATCATCAGAGAGTAGAAACGACGAACTAACTGAATCCTAATGCTTTATAAGGTTCACCGTAGAAACATTACTGCTTAAAACATTGCGATGAAAATATCGTCATTAAAAATATAACGACTGCGCAACAGTCAGTTTAGAACGCCTTATACAGTCAAGAGCAAGAAGTTTACTTCACAATAAGAATATATTTTTTATATATGTAGAATCCTTATGGCTGTTCACGATGAAGATTTGCAATAACAACTGAGTGATAATATTTCGGTCGACCACAAACATCAATGAAAACTTTCTTAAGACAAACAATGATCTGCTGAAAGACTGTCCCTTAACTGTCATTAACAATAATAGCGGTGAACATCTGTCGTAGGATGAACATTTTGTTCTATGATTTGATTGCTTCTGATTGCGCCAACTCATTATGCCAGGCCAGTGACGTCAATACCGTTTCATTGCATATCCACGGCTGCACGATAGACAAGAAAACGAACCATGTCATTGTAGTGCAATCATTGCATTTCTAACCCACGCAATGTCAAAATCATCATAACCCACTTTTTCGATCCACGGTTGCCTGAAGGCTGCCAAGACTTTGCCAAAAACTTGCTTTCTTCCCTTTCCATCCTTCATGATTCAACGAACCTCTTCAAATTAGCCTGTCATTGATCTGAAGGTGTTCCAAATGGCCGTTTACTCTATCTTAGAACCCAGTCTCATATCCACCTGGTTCAGTGACGGCAAGTTCTTTTTGCAACATGTCCTATCCACTGCTACTTTAACTCAGACTCTAACTTGTGTTCTTACTTATTCATTTGCATTTCTATGTTTTCATGTTATTCCCAACATACACAAAAGACTGTGTAAAACATGAAAAATCTTCCTTATAACAGACCAGCTTACAACGAAGAACAGATTTGTGATGCACCAATGATTACTATCTAATATCAGTATTGGGCATCACTTCCAACGGTCATTATGACATGTATGGAATACTCTGCTCGCTACAGTTCGTTAAATTTAGATACGGATGATAAGTTTCCACACCATCATCGGCGGTTTCATCAGACACTCTTTTGTAAGCAGATCTGGCAGAAAACGGATATGGTGATTATTTACATTAGTGGAAATAATTTTAGCCTTCTAAATTTTCGCCCAAACAAAAAAGAATGAAAAGTAAACATCATTCAAGGATTAGATGACTGAAATCTATCCTAGTCCCTATGTTGATAACTAACTATGTTGTGCCGCTTGGACCATGAGACATCTTTAAGGACTGAAACTGCCTAGCATCAAACTGCACTCGCAAGACCTATATTCGTGTATTAACAGAATTCATAATCCTAACGTCTTGTGAAAAGCCAAAATTACTGGCTCCTGAAATATTATTGCTGATCAACGAGCCATCGCTCTGACGTACAAAATGAAGCGCGATGCATCTGTATGCGCTGCCAACATATAATGCCTTGGCGCTGCAACCTGTTTAACTGATCACTAAGCATCTAAAAGCCATGAAGCGCAGCATCATGCTGTGACATCCGCTATGGTGGAATCTGCTGGAGATTATTATTTTCTCAAAGCATTATCGTACCAGACATGAGAAGTAGACAGCACAAGGAACTTACCATAAAGTATCTCGCATTATGTATTTAATGTCCATGTCTTCGCATAGCGTCACGATGCATTCCGCGGCGCCAAGCAACGAGTAGCACTTCATCAACAGAATGCGAAAAGCAAAGTTTGATGGACTGTTGGCCGCTGCCTCCTCGAGTAGCGCTACCATTGTCCAAACGCGTGACGGTTTGCCTAGAATCACAATGCAATTAACGTCGAGTGACCAAATGATCAAGCCAAAGCGCTTACCGTCCATTGCGAACATGTCCCACATGGTCCAAAACGCCAAAAGAATGTACCGATCAGCGTATTGCAGCTCAAACGGCAGAACAGCTCCTCCTACACACAAAACTGCTTTAAAAAAGAATAATTCACACGTATGTTTCATTTTGTCTTCCTACGCTTACCACGGCTACAGAATAAGGAAGATTCATAAAGTAGCAGAACCATTCAAAAATAGTACTAACTGAGTAGATCATCAATCCACAAAAAATTAATGGCAGCAATTTATGCCAAAGGTTACGCACTTGCAGGGTATGAAGTTATTTTTAAAAATACTGAAATTAAATAAACGTCAATTATGTTTATTTTACAACTAGGCTTAGACCCAGTTAAAATGCTATGCAGAAAATAAAATATCGCCCTGGCGGAGAGCGCCCTGCGGCACTGTCGAGAATCAGCATCACTTTGAAAGACAGGTTCTGAGAACGGCAACTGAGCTCAATCTAATGGATGAAATGGTAGCCAAACCAGTCTTCAAAGACAAAAGCAGTGACTCATTGCCTTAGCGCTGGATTTCCATTTCACTGGTACGCCAGGTTTGGACGTATTTTTCAGAGCTCTAAAATTCTCGGACCCGACAAATCAAAAGCATTTTCAATTTGCAATCCAACAGCAAAATTCCAACCAAGCACCATTATGAGCTGTTCTACCGCTTTAAATCAAGGAAAAGTTTTTCTCACGAGCTATAAACGTTCTTCTAGGCATCTTTTTCAGAACTGCCCCATTTTGTCAATGTCAAAAATGGTCTGGAGCAATACTGTCCATCCTCTATCATCTTCTTCAATATTTTGGGCATAGAAAGAGCAACTTCTTTGTCGGCACTCGTAACTTTCCTAGTCCATGCATTGCTGTGCAAATCACAGCCCTGTTCAAATCTGCTGAACCAATTATTGCTTGTAACAAAAGTTTCATTCTTTCAGATTGTTCCATATTCTTCCTTCAGACTTTGAGAAATCAGTTTGGCTTCACTGCATATGGTATTATAACCTATGGGGTTATTCTTCACTCTATTTTGGTTATCACAGCAAATTCTTTGTGAAGTCTCTATTTCAGAAACAACAAACAAGTCAGTGACACTTCGGAATAACTGCTGAATTAAATGATCGGCGTTTCTAATACATCGGTTCATTTTCATAGCCGCATTACAAGTGCTTAATCCGCCTTCGAAAAGCTTCTAATTGCCAGTTTTATTTCTAGTCGGCGTTTTTCTTTTCTTTGTTGAAAACATACATGTTGGTTGGTTTCTTTTTGAAGACATAATGGGATAAAATGAAAGTCGTTCTAAATTTGTATTGGCGCAACGTTATGACGTAAACACACTCCACGCTCTGCACGGACACAGCACACACGCACTGACTGCCCTTGGTACTGTGTGGGCAAATGTGGGAGAGATTCGCAAATACTGAGGCACACTACTGCGTGTTCGTTCATAGCGTAGGATCGCCAAATAAATGCAACACTTTAATTAAAATTTTTGCTAATTTATTATCAACACATAAAGACGACGGAAGTCAAAGTAAGGTAAGTCATGGTAATACTGTATACAATATATGTTGTAATTTGAACAAAACACTTGCCTAGTTGAAGACCGACTCGGTATCGGTAGACGCATTGTTCGTAGAGACTGAATGCCTGTTCCGAATTTAACGGCGATGGCTTTGGACATCTCATTGCATTGCAAAGGAGCAAAGCGCAGATATGCGTCCGCATTTGACGAACCTAAACAGGCGTCGAGATTTAGACTAACGGAATCAGCAATGATTTTGAAGCACTTACATTCTGCGCGAACGTCATGTCGCTGTCTTCCTTCTTGCCTGACGCGAAATCGACACGAAGGCCGCCACAGAGCCTCGACATTTGGTCGAAGATCTTTAGAATTTAACATTATTAACAACTTGCATCAATGCCGAGAATAAATGCTCACTGTTAACAACGGTTATAATTAGCGAATATTTCCAAAAAAAATCGATTGAAAGCCAACAATTTAAAGACTTCCTTTTGATCTCATTCGTCAGAATATGTCACGCCTCAAAATACAATTCACTTGTAAAGAAATATGGCAAAATGTATTGGCATTATCTTCAGAGTGGAGAAATACCTGGAACCCGGAATATGGTTAGTAAGAATTGCAGGAAAAATCGAAAGTATACAACTGTTGGGTTTTAACCTAATTTACGTTTCAGTGATCTGCTACGCCGTGACGATGTGGCAATTACATTCGCCAGAACACCGTCTGACGGAAAGGCCTACATCT